CCTAATTACTTCGTTACAGGATTACTCTTCTCTCTCTCTCTCTCTCTCTCTCTCTCTCTAGACTCGTTTCATTCTTTTTCCATATCATTCCATTTTTTTTTTTTCAATCTTTGCGCTCTCTCGTACGCTTTTTCATTTTATTTATTTTTTTTTTAATATTATTTCTCTGGATCTCTGTATTTTATTTTCCTCCATATCCTATTTCTGATAAACTTTTACTTTTTATTCTATTTTACTTTTTAACATTATTCTATTTCTCTGCATTTCACTGTTACTCTCTTTCTCTTTTATGTTTCTGCATTTATTTCATTTTTAATATTATCCTATTTCTCTAAATCTCTACATTTCACTCTTTTCCATTCTTACCTTCGTATTTTACCTTCTTCCTTATTATTCTTATTATTCTGCGTTTCATTTTCTTTTCCACGGATCTTTCCTTTCGAGGATCGTAAAAAAAAAAAAAAAGAAGAAGGATGAAAACCAATGCATTTCTCTGACTCTCTCTCGTCACAATCGATTTGCTGGAAGGAAGAAGCAACGATGCAAATGAGCTCGATTCGGCAAAGGCGGGAAATTGAGAACGGGTGGACGGGAAGAAAATGGTCTGTGCGAGGGTCGAGAGAGGGAACGGTCCTCGACGCGTTCGCCAAGCCACTCGAAACAGTCCTGCATAACAATCTACTTGAAAAGTGGCAGCGCGACGCGAAAATGAGCGAGACGACTCCCAACTCAGACGACTTCTTTCCCCTCTTACGGTCAACTTAACCCGCGGCAACAATCTTTCGCGCTGCGTACTTCCCTCGTCTCTTGCTTTCGCTGCGCACTTCTCTTCGCAAAATCTTCAAAACTTTACGCGGAAAAAATAGAAAGATAAAAAATAAGGAACAGTAAATTTGTACGAAGTCGTTGGAAGAATAATCGCGATATTTTCGACGAATTTTATCGATTATTATTCGTTGTTTTTGAAACAATAATAACAGACAGAGGATATTATTGGAGATTGAAAAGATCGAGAGATTCGATTCGATCTTTTTCACGATCGTGTAATCTTTACCTTTTGCACTCTGTATTTATCTTTAAGAATGTTACCAATCGAGTAACAAGAATTCTTAGAATGTAATTATACTTATATTAATAAATATTAAAATGTAGGCGATATACGATATAGAAAGTCCTCGAAGATACGGCTAACAACGGCTTATTCCAAAATTTCAAACGTCAAGAATGAAGCGACGCGATTTTAAATTCGATGAGAAATTTTTAATTCCAACTCGATGATAATAATGGACGCGTAGGAACACGTAAAGTGCAATAAAGAATCTGAATGGAAGAATAACGTGGACGAGAGAAAGGATGCTGGATCAAGGATGCGCGATATATTCGAGGTTTTCCAACCCTGTTTTTCAGTTAAAAAGGGTCGGTAGACTCCGGTGTACGCGTATGAATCGCGTAAAAGGTCGTAGATCAAAAGTGTATCCACAGGTCTTTGAGGGGTAAGCTTTCACCCCTGTTTTAATACGCCTCGGGATCGGGACAAAGTGGCCGCTTTCGCGTCCGCTTATGTATTTCGCCGAGCGAGATAGAAGAAGCGGAGAAACGAGGGTGATCGAAGTCGATCGCGAATTTTCGAATTTTCTTTTTTCTTTTTTTTTTTTCTTCTTGTTTCGTTCTCGTGCACCGATATCGGGAACGCGATTTATTATCGCTGCAAGAAAGGAAATCGAATTCGGACAAATTGGCAAAGCGTGTTTCCTATACATCGCAAAGGATTGGAAATTCGAAAAAATTACGATACTCGTTTTAGTTGAAAACAAATCATCAAATGTGACGAGTTTCGATTCGATAATTTCATCAACTCCTCGAATCCTTCGAATTATATCCCACGAATATTATCCATCCGTTTCGTTTCGTTTAACCTTAAAAATCATGAGCTCTTCGTGAGCTCGTCGAAACAATACTTTTTCCACAAATTTTTTTATTATACAACGTTTTAAAATCGTAGCGCACGTCGAGAAGAAATTGGAGAACTCGCTTATGTGATTCACGGGGGAGGGGAGGGGAGGGGAGGGGAGACTCGTGCGCGAGGAGAATCGTTACGTTGTGTATTCGAATTCGTGTGGGAGGAAGAAGGAGGAGGGAGGTGTATGTACGGCTTGGAAATATATATATCCAAGTGTCGGTTTTTGTTTGAACACGCGTTGACATTCGTTTCGTGACAAGGAGGAATAGTGAGAGGGGTAGGGGGGGGGAGGAGAGAGAGGGTGTAGCGCGGATGCGAATACTAATAATGGAAAACGTGCTTTCTCTGTTTCAGATGACATAGAATGGGTTGGGTGGCGCTAGGGCGGTGTGCGGGTGGTGGCGGCCGCCTCTCGTCCGTCCTCTCGCTGTCTCTCACCTCCCTCGCAAGCTCCCTCATCTTCACCATCCTCTGTATCCTCACACTTGCCCTCACTCTTGTCACCCTCGTGCGTGCCGAGGACATGTACGTATTATCGAATACGCGCACACACAACACGTATACACGTACATACACACCACGTACACACACACACACACAGACATGATAATTAACCAATCTGTTCGATTCGACTTCGTCCAAGCTACTTCTCTTAACTTCCCGATACGATATTTAATAAACGAAGCAAAACGCGCAAGTTTGGTTAAGTCTTGCTTAGCACCGTCGAACGGATCTGTTCGATCGATAAGTTCGAAGTTTCTTTACCATGGAATGTTTGGTATCGAGAAGGGAAGAGGTCGCTACTAATAGAGTGTAGAACATTGTGTTGCTTGTGATAGGATCGAGAGGGCGACATTATATAGCGATTTGTTAGAGTGTTATATTCGATGATTAAGATTTGATCAATTCGTGCATGGAAATAGAATAGAGGAAGGGGGTGACGGGCAAGTTCTATCTTTTCTATATATCTTTCCTTTCCTGGAGAGAAGAATCGAAAAGAGAATTGAACGGAAAAGAGGGAGCCTTGTTCGTCACCCTTGGAAATAGAGGTCGCCGCTACTAATGTCGCCTAGATTTCATGTTCTGAAGGCTCTTACTATTACTTGTTTTTTTTTTACATTCGATTATTGTGCAAACTTGTCTTCGTTTTATTATTAATCGTGGGACGCCGGTCGTGAAGGAAGCGAGAAAGTGTTCGCTTTAACTTTTCGGATCGTAAACTTCATTTAATCGTCGTCGTCGTCGTCGTCGTCGTAAAGTTAAATCCTTTACGTGTCTTTTACGATCTTTTGATTCGATCCGATCGAATTTGACGAAATATAATCGGAACGAATAACTTTTCTCGCCTCGATCGGCGTCCTATTCGTTCGATTGCATCGTACGTCGTTTAGTATATCGTGTAGACAAGTTTGGATTCCTAGTTTGTGATCGCGATGTAGTCACGATCGAAGCAACGGAACAGTTAATTAATTAGCGTGTTGCAAAGAGATATATATATATATATACATATAATATAATATAATATAATTATAATATAATATATTAGTTTAGCTTAAGCTGCGTTTTAATTCCTTGGAAATAATTCCCGTAGATCGTTTCTTTCTCTTTTGATACTTGTTGCGTAGCAATTGAACGAGAAGAGAGACACGTGAAAGGGAACGAATAAGTAGGTTTTTTTTTTT